TTCATTTGAAATGTCTTTCTCCACCACTCACCCATAACCTCCATTAATGATGGTGCCTACATCCAGTTAGTCAAAAAATCCTAACCGTTAGACCCTCAGAACTCAGATCTGTGCTTTCTTCTACAGCCCCTTGGCCACTGTTTGAATTTAGGCCTTCATCACTAACTCATTTTATTTTATTTTATTTATTTATTTTTTAAAGATTTTATTTATTTATTTGACAAAGAGACAGTAAGAGCATGAGCGAGGAGAAGGTCAGAGGGAGAAGCAGACTCCCCATGGAGCTAGGAGCCCAATGTGGGACTCGATCCTGGGACCCCGGGATCATGACCTGAGCCAAAGGCAGTCGTCCAACCAACTGAGCCACCCAGGCGTCCCATCACTAACTCATTTTAGACTTCTCTGATATATTCTCCACACTACTGGCATCAGACCTTGGCGATAAGCAAATTTCACCATTAATTTCTCTCCCTAAAGTACTTCATGGTTCTAAAACACCTTCAGAATTAAGGTCAAGCTCCTTAGCAGGACCATGGCACTCTTCTGTCCCTGGTCCTTGCCTGATCTCCTGTCACTCTGTAACCTGCTCTTGGTCCATACCAAACAAGTTGCTGTTTCCCAGAGACCCCACATCCTAGCCTACCTCTGTACCGAAGTATAGCTGCTTGAGAAATCTTTTATCTTCCCCCTATACTACCATTTCTATTTCAAATGCCATACAGCCTAATGGATGAGCATCAGAACTTTGGGGCCAAGAAAACCTGATGTCCAATACTAGACCAGTTGCTTTTCTTTTCACCTCAATTTCGTCATTAGGGGTGTTGTGTGAATCAAGTTAGGTATTTGTTGAATAACTGAATGAATGGTGTGTTCATTTAGTGCCTGCTGGCTTCCAGGCTCCATTTTTTTTTTTTTTTTTTAAGGTATTTCTAACTAGAGCTTCTCAGCTTTTCTTTTTTAAAGATTTTATTTATTTATTTGACAGACAGAGATCACAAGTAGGCAGAGAGGCAGAGAGAGAGAGAGAGGAGGAAGCAGGCTCCCTGCTGAGCAGAGAGCCCGACATGGGGCTCGACCCCAGGACCCTGGGATCACGACCTGAGCCGAAGGCAGAGGCTTTAACCCACTGAGCCACCCAGGCACCCCTCCAGGCTCCATTTTAAGAGCTGCGGAGATAGCAGTGAACAAAACAGTTGGAGCTCCTACCCTAAAGGATCTTATATTCTAGCTTGTGCAGAGGAAGTGAACAAAATAGTTATAATTATTACTCATTAGGCTTCGGTGATAGTTCCTTGGGGGAACTTTTCGGACCCACTTCCTAATTTTCTTTCTGAATCGGGTGCTCCTCCTCTATGGGCCTATGTCACCCTATATGGTGCTGTGATTACAGCATGATGTTGTATCATAATTGCTGGTATTTTTATCTTGCTCGCTACAATCCTATGAGTTCCTCGAGGATCAAGCCTGGGACTTCTCTTTTTATTGTACCAGCTTCTGATACACAAGAGTGTACCTTAAAATAACATTTACCACTAAAGAGCATTTGTCATATGCCGGACACTGTGTTAACTACCTTAAATATATTCTGTAACTTTATCTCCCAGCAACTGTATGAAACCAGTATCATTACACCTCCTTTCTAGGTGAGGAAAATGAAGAAACCAAATCTTGCAGATGCAAAGTAACTCGCTCAGGTCACACAGCCAGTGTGTAGTGAAACCCAGTGGGGGACTCCAGTGGGCTCCAGAGCCCCAGTTTTAATCATGATGCTTGATGCTTGATGAGAGGAACCATTTCTCCATAGGGCAGTTGGAGATTTATTGTCTGCATGTATTTTATTTTAGAAACACCTGTGCACATAGGACAAAACCTCAATCCAGACTTGGATGTTCATAGATGCTTTAGCAAAGGTATTCTTTTCTATAATTGATCTATGTGACTATCCTCACCCTACTGAGAGGTGGGGAAACAAGTGGTTTTAAACTTGCCAATTCATAGAATTATAGTCTCTTGCAATTTTGACTGACTTTGAATAGTTCCAATTCTTGGGTAACGGTTCAGTTTTTAAACTATCCTTCCCTCTCCCTAACCCTTCTGCCAAGCTATACCAAGCCACTGATTTAAGTCTTTATTGTGCTGGGGCTAACCTTGCCCAGTTGGGGAGGGAGGTGTTGGGGAGACACTCCTTGAGGTGTTATTTCTCAGAGTCTCAAATGGGAAAGGAGGTCAGAGTAAGTCCTCAAGCCTGAGAACAAAGCTAAACCTCTCTAACATCTCCCTTGGAGACCTGCTTTTTCCACCTTTCATCTCCTTCCTACACTCAGTCGGATTTGGAAGGGGTAGACTCTTTCCTCCCCCTTCCTGCCTTTTCTGCACTTTCCCTGTGTCCTACATCCTCGTTCCCAAAGTGGAATTTGCCCTCTCCTTTTCCCTAGGGCTAAACAGGAGAATGGCTGCCAGCCTACTTGATTTATGGGAAAAGGAATGAAAACACATCTGTTTAGTATTTTCAAATTATTACCCCGGTTACCCCAGTGTCTCAGCGTAATCACAGGTCTCTGGAGCTCTCTGGGTCCCTCCATAGTAACATGGCTCATGGCAGTCCTAGAGAAAGATTTACAGGAACTCTTAGATCCCTCTTTCACCTGACTCACTGCCCTTCCCCTCAACCCAAATTCTTGGCCATAGTCCTCTCTCTTCATGAGCAACATAGAAACAGTGGGAGTACTGTCTCCACAAAATAATTTGATATAGCCAATGAGCTATACATTCAAATTCTGACAAATTTAGTCCCTATAATAATATCAGTTATGTCATATGTATTACTTAAATATGAGATCATGGAGAAGTAAGCTGTACTAAAGAACCCAAAATGAGAGGATGTACTCTGAAAACATTAAATACTTCATTTGTAGACTGTGCTTTTCACCTTCAGACTATCCTAAAGAAAGGGGAAGCTTTTGTGAAAGGGAACAAATTAGTAAGGAAATTGACAACCATGGGACCAGTAACAGAAATAGAGGAACTGTAATCTTAGTAGTGATGACTACACTCTCAAGCCTCTTTAGTTCAGCGTGCGGTATATCTTTTACTTACATTTATCTGTATAACTTTCAAGTCTTAGGTCTGAAGTAGATCCTTACTGTATGAGGGGGGAAAAAAATCTCAGGTAAGCTGAGATATAGATTTAAAAAAATCAACTTGTACACTATGAGTTCACTGGAAAGACAGAAAAATAAAACTAAGATGCCCAAAAGAAGAATAGGAAGTAGGAAAAAAAGAAAAAAAAGATCCCCTTGTTTGAGATTATCATTACCATCTGGGTTGTGAACTATTTGATTCTAATTCTAGAAGCTTGATGCCAGAAATAACTTATTACCACGGAGATAGGCTGGAGAAATGTTGGGAACAACAAGGTTGTTTTTTGTTTGGTTTTTTAAAAATATCTATACCACAAAACGATAAAGCTGATAAACCACACAATGATGTGAAGGGATGAGCCCATATAGCCTGTACTTTCTTTTATACCCCAGTTCTTCCCTTCTCACCCAACAGAATGTCAGAGACCACTTTTGATAAGCAGAGAATCCTTTAAACTCTCTTCTCTCTGGAGGAAAGCAATGGATGCATCTGGGGTCTGTTGAGAGTTTATAATCTAATCCATCGACGTTGCCTAGTACTAGCAATTCTGTTCACAGCTCTTTTCACAGTGGTCATGTTGAGAGTGTACATAAAGTACTTGATTCTTACCTTGATCTATATTTATGAGCTCACATTAAATATAGATCAGTACTGTCCAATCACATTGAAAAAAGCATGTCATTTTGATGTTCCAGTTCACCACTTCCTAGCTCTGTGACCTTGAGCAAGTTACTTAATCTCACAGTTTACTCATTTTAAAATAGGGACGATGCTAATAGTACCTGCCTCATGGCCAGTGTATTTGAAAACACTGTAATGATATAGAACAGCTAGAATGTTGAGAGCTTCCAAATACTAATTGAGTTTGGGCTGGTTTAATTCAAATGAAAATAAAATAAATGGCAAGGAGTTATCTGTATCAAGAGGCAGTTTAAGAATTTGAATGGGGAGTCTTGGGTAACCATCATCATGTTCTAAAATGGTGGCTATTTTTTTTTTTAAGATTTTATTTATTTATTTGTCAGAGAGAGAGAGGGAGAGAGAGCGAGCACAGGCAGACAGAATGGCAGGCAGAGGCAGAGGGAGAAGCAGGTTTCCTGACGAGCAAGGAGCCCGATGTGGGACTCGATCCCAGGACGCTGGGATCATGACCTGAGCCGAAGGCAGCTGCTTAACCAACTGAGCCACCCAGGCGTCCCATGGTGGCTATTTTTTATTTATTTTTTTAAAAAACCCTTTGAGGATTCTTTTCTGCAGAAAATCTCATTTGCAATCTTTAATCTTCACATAATTAAAGTAAAGGCTGCACTGATTTGAAGGAAATACAGTTTCCTCTTAGGTCTTCAGGTTTGGGGCTTTTTGGGGGGAAGAGGATGCTGCTGTTGAGAGAATGGGGGAGGAAGCTGGAAATCTGAACCCCCTTAGTCTGGTACATTTTCTGGAGCAGGCCACCAGGTCTTTGTATATTTTTTTGACACCAGACCGAGTTTAATTCGAATGCTGTAAGAACTTGGTATTGAAGGAGTTAAAGGGTCTCCCACACCCCTCTGCCTGAATCGTTCTTTTGTGTACACAGCTGCAGTTGGAGCACGGGTCGAAAAGGAAATGGTTAGAGGAAGAGCTGGTTTTCAGACGAGGCGAGTCTGTAAGGGGGGCCTGGGGTGGCCTGGGGTTTTACATGCCAGATGTAGGCCTGCCCCGGTGCCTGCCTGGAGCTGCTGGCATGGTCACGCCTCGGCCCTGTGCGAATTGAGGCGAGGAGATGAGTTAGCGGGTTGCTATGGTGACGGGGCCCGGCCACGTGACCCGGTGCTGCTGCCGGCGCTTTGACGTCAGCAGCCGGGAGGGCGGGACGCAGGAGGGCGGGGCGGGAGCCGAGCTGGGAGAAGGGAGCCAGCGAGCAGGCGGCAGGCAGGCACGGTCTGCGCGAGGAGCAGGCGAGCGGGAAGACGAGACGCAGCCACCTTCCTCACCAGCCAGCCCTCCGCGGTTTGTTCCCTTCCTCGGGAGTGCGCCAATGCCTGGTCCGACCCAAACCCTGTCCCCAAATGGCGAGAACAACAACGACATCATCCAGGATAACGGGACCATCATTCCTTTCCGGAAGCACACAGTGCGCGGGGAGCGTTCCTACAGGTAATGGGGCTGGCACCGGGCGCGGCGCCGGGCGGGGGAGCTCGGCGGGGGCGCGCGGAAATCCGGCCCGTTATATAATGGAGCGGACACTGCGCCCGGACCCGGCTGCAGACGTGCGTTCGCCCGGGCGCTTGTGATCATTTGCTGTCTGTTTCCATGTGTCATGTTGGCTATGCGCTGAGGCTTCACCAATGCAGATGGAGAGCATTTTGTGAATAGGTTTGCTGCCTCCGAGGGGTCTCCTTCCATCTCCTTCCTTCCACGCTGATAAAAATGCAAGCAATTTTTCCCCCCTCTCCAAAGGGAGACAGGCTGTAGCACTTCCTTTCCTCCTTTTCTTTAGATTTTAAAGGAACCATTGGATAGGCTGTGCCTAGAGGCAGGGAACAGGAGGATGGCGAGAAAAATGTTTGAGCTTGCCCTGGTGTGTGTGCAGGAAAGATGGAATCCTCTAGATTAAGCTGCAGTCTGTGATGTTAAACCGCCAGATTGATGGAGCTTTGTAAGAATTCTGCTCGCTGATTGGTGCAAGGATTGACAGCAGAGGTCACGGTGTCAGACATTCGCCAAAATTTTCTCCATAGAACCCATGGTTTATTAGAAAGAGACTGGACTGCAGTGGACCTGAGGAAACCCGAGTGCCGTTATGCATTTTCTTAGGAGTTTATAGCGTCCGCATGGGTGGGGGAGCCCGCCCTTCTTTAAACAGTAGGAAGGTAATTCCTGCTATTTTGCCGAGGTCTGATTTGAGGATGGGACTGATCCTGGTCATTGTATTGTGAGCTTTTTGATTAATGAGTGAGCCTGTGTGGTTGGCATCATTTTTACATTAGCATATCTGGCAATATGTTCTAGTAGATAAGCTCATTAAAATTGTTTGCATTGTTTGATAAGGATAACAATGTAATGGAGAATGCAGCTAGAGTCTAATGCTGCTCAAGGCCAGACTTGAAGGGAGACTGATAGCTTCCCTCATATTTCCTCTGAAGTTCTTTTGTACTGGGGTAGTTATTTTTAAATGTTACCTTGATAACCACTAACAATGCTTTTGCTTCAAGGCAGAGCACACATACCTCTAGAGCGCATCCTCTCAGTTAGTGAGCAACAGGAAATAACTCTTTTTTTCTTTCTTTCTTTTTTTCTTTTTTTAATGCCTTCATCTAAACGTTCCAGTGGTATTGTGGGTAGAATATTCAGTGTGTGTAAATATGACATATTTGTAAAATGGGACCCAAAGCACCCCACTTCCTCTCTCTTTGACCAAAAAAACCCTATTTGCTGACTCAAAAAGAAAAATTTATAAGCAACCTTTGCCCTGCCATCTCCGGCAGTTATATAAATACTTGGAGTTAATTTTGGCTGTGCCCATGAGGTCACCAAAATCTCATGCCTTATGGTTCCAACTAATATGTTTACATGGCATCCTTACAGAGTCCAAGCGCTTGTTATTAATATAAACCGAAATTGGTCCACAATGTCTGGGACTCTCCTCTTGGAGATCCTTGTGATTGGAACATTGGGTCCCTTTGCTCCCTTACTCATCCACCTTTCCCTGTGAACATTCCAAAGCCTAAAATAGAATTTAAAAACAAAAACCCCGCGTTGCTTTTAAACCTCACTTAGTTCAACTGTCCATATAGGTAATAGGTTTTGAAGTCTTCATTTTGTCAGTGATTTAATCTCTGCCACGTAAGTAGCAGTTGTTTTTAAGACGGAGTTCGAATTTTACCACATAGGCCAAAGGAAGTTGCTTAGTTGGGTTTTATTAGTCATATGAACAAACTTGAAATGGCGGTGGAAAATGACTTGGTTGGAAAGGTTAAATGCTACCTTTTGGTGTTAAAATATTGCTTTAAAGTAAAAGCTTAGTTATCTTTTCAATTCAATCTAAGTTATTTTCATTTCCTAAATTATGTCCAGTTTGTTTTCTGAGTCCCTGTAATGGTACCTGAAGTTATATGAAAGGAAAAAAAAAAACTGAATTTAAAGAAAAGACCTGACTGGAGAAATTCTTAAGTCAGTAAGAGCATTATTTCATTTGTATTTTATGTAACAGGATTACTGGACACCATACTGAGAGGTGTCATAGGTTAAATGAAGGAAGGAATCCTCCAAAGTTATATTGGTATTGTATTACACAAAGGGTGTATGCTGAGACAGACACACCTTATGTTTTCTTTGGTCTGCTCTGCTTTCAAAGTGGATGGCCAATGTAGTATAACTACCACTTATTTTTTTGGAGGGGCGTGGGGAAAGGAAAAATGTGAGACCTGTTTCTATCCAGGAAGTGTTCCATAATTATTTTGGCATCCTGAGGCTGGAATAATATTGCCATTTAATTGCTGAGGAAACTTGGAAGGTACTGTGAAAGCCCAAATAGAGATACTTAACCAAATAAATTTTGCTTAGGTGGTGGGTTCATTATAACCCTCAAAAATGACATGTGCTGAAGAGTTCGGTTTGAGTTCCGTGGAGGGGACAGCCCAGAGCCCTGGGATGATCGGAGGGAACTCTCTTCCTGATTCCTTCGCTGTGTTGTAGGTAGGCCTCAAGCGGGTCCTTTACCTTTGGCCTTATTTTCTACAGTTGCTCCTGGCATGTAAGATTATCTCCTTGCATTCTTACAGAGTCACTATGAGGTTAGCTTCAAACATTTAAAACAAAGACTTTCATAAAAGATCTACATAGATACAAGAAGAATGCCATTATTACTCTTCCAGGAGCTCCAGCTAGGAGGTAACACAGGTGAGGAGAGGAGAGGACACCTAGGGAACAGTACTGTTCTTTCTAGTAATGTCAGGTGGCCACTCTTCCCAGCAAAAGACCTTCTTGTCATGCCATTTGCCCTAGATTGTTCATGGATAAGGGTCAAATATGGTTCATGACCCACATATCTCACTCCAAGTATCTCTTTGTGTAAACCAAGTCCATTTTTATAGTCTGGACCAGAGAGGTGGTTCACCATTATTGAAACCCATGCTTACTTTGATTAGAAGAGCAAGTTAGGAAATTATCCTTCTAGTAGTAATTTCAGTCAAAGGAGGCCAGTGCAAAAATGGCTCAGCAGAGCTATGTGGATATTTCTACTGTGTGATTGCCTTCTTGGACCCAGCTTCCTCATTGCATTTATGAGCACTGGAAATCCATATATTTTAAGAGGTGCTTCAAAAACAAATGTGGCGTGGGCCATCTGAGGTGATAGTGTTTAATTCACAGAACGAATGAGTTGGGCTCTGGCTCTCCCTGGAGAGGCTACTCCCTATAGCTCTGTTTCATGCAGATGCTTGTAGGAAATGAGATTTATTAACTGGCCCTCTGCCCAGCGCGTCCTTGTTTGCATACTCCCGTCTCTTAAGAATGAATGTATACGTCCAGGGGACTATTTCCACATGGGTGTTTGAACATGCAATACAGTAGCATATGTTTCTGAATACTAAAAAACCCCCCCCCCCAAAAAAATAAAATAAAATAAAAACCAAAACAAAACCCCAAACCAACTTGGCCCCAGGAAATGGACTGTAAAGAAAGGCAAAACTAAAACTTAAGCCTAAGACATTGGCTCTCCCACCCAGCTTGGCCAGTTTTGAAAAATGAACTCTTAAGAAAAACAAAAAGAAATATTGTGTGTGTATAAAAGACATTTGTGAAAGTCTGTCCCATTTAACAGAGGCTGTTGTAAGGTGGCTTACTGTGATGAGAGTGTAGATTTCAGATCCCTTGCTCCCCAAGTCAGCAGATGCAGATGGGGGGGAAGTCTAGCTTCACTTGTATGTTGCCTACATATTAGTATCATCTAGGTTTGCTGCTGTCATAGGAAGTTTCTAAAAATGGTGATCTTGTCCTTAATATTTTTCTTTGTATTTGTAAAAATCAAAGGATTATCTGATGCTCATTGGGTGCCTAATTTTTAACTTCTTCTCGGGGTCCTTTGTCAGAACTTCTGTTAAGGGGTTGGTCTTCTGGGCACATGTGCTGAGATGCTCACCCCTACTCAGCAGTGGTTGTCACTGGTTGTATCTTTTTACAGTGGGTTATCTTAGCAGAATGGTGGCTTGAGATGGTTCTCTGAATTTAGGAGGTTGATTTCCATCAGCCCTATCTTTTCTGTATTGATAGGGGACTTCCTAGAGCTGCAGCGAGTTATCCCTTAGATTAACAGAAGGGGAAATATAGAGGCTAATCTAAATATTCCATTTGGTTTAGAGAATTCGACCAATTTTCAAAAGCATACTCTGAGGGCGCCTGGGTGGCTCAGTGGGTTAAAGCCTCTGTCTTCAGCTCAGGTCATGATCCCAGGGTCTTGGGATCGAGCCCCACATCGAGCCCCACATCGGGCTCTCTGCTCAGCAGGGAGCCTGCTTCCTCCTCTCTCTCTGCCTCTCTCTCTGCCTACTTGTGATCTCTGTCAAATAAATAAATAAAATCTTTAAAAAAAAAAAAAAAAGCATACTCTGGCCAAAGTCTGTGCTAGATGCCCCATAAGGCCCTTGAGTTCCGGTGAAGTCAGATGTATAAGCAACTCCTTTTGTAACAGATTTACCTTGTTTGTGAGTATTTGGCTTGGCCTAGGAGTAAAAGTGGTTTGCATTTCCTTAGTCCACAGTGGCTCAAAGACAAAGAAGATACCCCCAAAGCCGTTATGCTATAGGAAGCTAAACAATGCAGAAAAACAAAAATTTTGGTCTAAAGATTAGAGTATAGGCTTTAGAATCAGAATTTTCACTGGCCTAGCAAGGTACATGTTGAGCAGGAGTGGAAAATAAAGCAAGGGCTTTGGGAGGCAGGCAGGGTAGTCAGAACTTGGAAATTGAAGGCCACTGAAAGTTCATTAATTGAAAAATAGCGTAATGAAAACAGAATTGCATGCTGGAATTTATCTTTTGTTTCAAAATGGGAGTTGAGAGGAAAATGAGGGTCCTCCAGTGCCCCACCCTAGAGGGCCAGAATTCCTAGAGAATACTTGATTTGCCATGAGAGAATCCTCCAGCCCTACTCTGGAG